GTTACCAGTGTTTGACTCCATGGTTCCCCTCCCCCACGCCTCGCTCAGGGGCTTTCTCAGGGGTGTCCAACATCTTCAGCTTCTGGGGAGAGAGCCGAGGAGGCGGTCAGTACCAGGAGGTCCCCAGCTGCAGCCTGGCTTCCCCCCCGCCTCTCAACAAGCCGCTGCACAGCCTGAGCCGGCAGCAGCGCAGCCAGCTGGACACGCGCCTCGACCTGCTGCAGAAACAGCTCAACAGGTCAGTTTGGCTCCGCCCACCAAGACCCTTAACCCCTGATTGCTCCCCGGGTGCCGCACAATGGCAGCCCTTTGCTCCCAAAGGGGATGGATTAATTGCAGAGTGTGAATTTCTCCAATGTGACTTCAGTTAAAAAAGTTCAGTTATTACATTTTATTTTGTTATTCAAGTTTTGCGACATCAGATGTTTAATTTGTCAGAATACTAATTTCAAAGTCATTGATACGAGTTACAAAGTTTCAACTTTGCAAAATTCCGAGTACAATTTACTGACTGAAAAATGAATCTACATCTTATGATGAAGCTGTAACACTCCTCACCACCTGGTGGCGCTAATGCCGTTACAAATGTTCACCATTAACACTTACAAAAGAAGAAGAGGACCCAAAAAAGCATTGAATAGAATATCAATGCGTAGATATATGATGATTAGATATAAGCGTGCGCAGAATAATGTTTATTAACCAGTTCTGTTTTCTTCCTCTTCCTCTTTTTCTCATTTAAAGGCGGTTGGCAAAAACTTCCACTTACATCACTGCCACCAGCTGGTAGTCAGTGTTACTGCTTCTTCTGGATTTGTAGATTCTTACTCGTAAATTTGGAATTTTTACCTGTAAACTTGTAATTCATCTTAGTAAATATTTAATAAATACTTTTGGAATGCATACTCCTTAAGTGATGATTATTATCTCCGCTCTGTCCAGATTATTTTTAGACTTATTTTATTTTAGACAAAGTCATGAAAATAACTTCGTTCTTGGAAAAGTTTGTATTATCTCTGTGTTGCAGTTTCTTAACACTATCAACATATAAAGGATTTGTTTTGATCAGTCAAAAAAAATAGTTTTGCACTTCTTAAATTTGATTAAAAAATGCAAACAATTTGTGTTTTTTGGACAAATTTTGGACAGTGACAGAATTGTTCAAATTCTGTCCTAGATTTTAATAAAAGAATAAACATCTGTAGGTCAAAAGTTTTTTATCAGCCTTATGTATTACAATGTAATGATACTGACCCTGATTTAACACGGATACCAAACTGAGCAGAATCACACGCCTCTTCTAGCTTCCAAACTGTTTTCACTCTCATGCTGAAGCTTAATTATGTCATAAATTAGTGTTTTAACATTGTTTATACCTCATACCAGATAATCAATTATGTACTTTGCATATAGAACCAGCTCATGAATCCATTTGGACCAAATAAAACACTGATATTATGATCTGCCGTTCTGGTTCTGTTTTCACTCTGGGTTCCCAGTTATGCTTTCATTTATGTTATGTTTTAATGTGTTGTTGCCAATATTTATATAATTTTAGAGTTTTTAGTTTTACTCTTTCTCGTTTTTTTTTTTTTTTTTAAGTTATCTCTTTTCAGCATTTTTGGTATTCCTTTTTTTTTTTTTGGTCTAGTTTGTCATAGTCAATCGTTCTGTTATCTTTAGATTATGTTCCTCTATGGAACATTAGTTTTTTTAGTTGACTTGGTTGTTAGTTTCTTTTTTCTTTGGAGCCTCTTTGTATTTTTAGTTACTCTCCGCTGCCCCCTAATGTCACCTTCTTTCCTCTTAGTTTTCTTCTAGTTCTTTCTCTGCACTCCTGCCCCCTCTTAGATCATTGCTACAATCATTGTCCTGTCTCCTCCTCGGTGTATATATACTCCTACCCTACAGTTTGTTTTTTATTAATGTCTTCATTAATCCCTGTTTCTTACCATTTTTCTTTCTTTACTTTAGTTCCTGTTTTCTTTTTACTTTTTGGATTAATCTCTTTGCTGCCATCATCACAATAAATCGACAAGAAAACTACTCAGCCTCCGCTTCTGCATTCTGAGACCAACTACAAACATTCGAAAACTCTGACAAATATATCCCGAGTGAAAAGTCCCAGAGCGGCTGTAATACGTTCATTCCGGCTTGGTGCCATGATAGAAGGCCACAATAACAGTGAAATAAATCAGGTTTGATGAATGTAAAGATCATTTACCAGCTGAAATTGAGAACAAAATATACTGATTTGAAGACATTATTACTTGTTTTGCAGAGCATACAGTACACAGAGGTTGGAATTCAGATTAAATTAGGAACAGTGAGTGAAACTTCAGGGTTCCTGTGGTCGAGTAGCTACATTCATGTTTAATGTTTGCCTCAGATGCAGCGATATGAAGGTTTTCCCTATACTGTTCCATGCCACAGTTTCAGCCAATGTTGATGGTTTATATGAGCACACTGATTACCATTAGACATCTTATTAAGATTCAGAAGAGAAGGACTCAGTTTTCAGGCAAGACAGACAGTGGGATTACTCAAAAAGCATTTATTAAAAGGCTCAGATGTCCAGGACAAAGGCAGTTCAGGTGGGAACAGGCAATCTCAGTGGATGAGAGGCAGAACAGGTCAGAATCAGTTAATCTGAAACACCAAGGCACTCTAAAAACACTCTCACCACTGGCTAGAGAGAACAAGAATAATTTGGCTCTGATGACTGGATACAGGCGCCTTAAATAGAGGCAGGAGTAGGTGGATCAGATCAGCAGTGATGAAAACCCCTACAGAGTTAGACAGGTGAATGGAATGAGTAATTAGGCCAGTCATCGGGGCCAAGATCATTACATTTGCAGACAACTGCTCCCAAAAATGCCACAAATGGCCAAAAATGTAAAAGCTTTTAAATGCCTCTCTGATACTTGGAGCACCTCCACATGGTGTGTTTAGTGACCGAAAAAGAAGATATGTATATTTGAATTTTCTACCAGCTGGACAAGGTTTAGCCCAGTCGAACACCATAAAAACCTTAAACCTCTTATATATTTTTCTTCGCAATGTTTCAATTCAGCTTTACTGACTTTTTCTGCATCATGTCTCATTATGCAGAATGAAAGGTGAAAATCATTAGATATTTTTCTTCGTATTCAACATTTTTATAGTTTTTGTTTCAGGTTCCCTGATAATATTTAAAATAACATTAACACTTTAGGACTACAGGACCAATGCCTTTCCTTTCTGTATACAGGTTGGAGAGCCGCATGTCGGCGGACATTGGTGTGATCATGCAGCTCCTGCAGAGACAGATGGCCCTGGTTCCTCCTGCTTACAGTGCTGTGTCATCACCTCCTCAGGTAACCACGCGGTTGGTCCACAATGTAAACTATTTTAGATAAATTTTTATAAGATAGTTAATTAACACCTGATGGTTTTGGTCTGCAGCCCTCACCCTACCCTGGTCCAGAACCAGGAGACAGAGCAGCTCCACCCATCCCTCCTCTGGAAACAGACACACTGGCTTCCCTATCACAGGTGAGCGTTCGGTCATTAAGGGATCCGTAAACCCATTACAGGCCAGTAACAAAACTGTTTGTTGAAGGGAACAGAATGGAAAAGCCTGTTCTTTCTTCAAACCTTTGTGACATTAAGCAAATATCTACCTGGGAATGCTGGGCATATGGCAAAAGGACCGCCATTTTTGACCAATAGAAGAAACAAAAGGCCATTTGTCAATTGTCAAATCTTAACATTAGCTCTAGCCTTTACTGAAATCCAGCTTAGCTACTGTATGTTTCTCCATACTAGTTACTAGAAAGCCTTTTGATTTGACACTTTAGTTCTATTTTTGCAGTGAACTGTCATCAAGAAAAAACAGAGTTATACTTTATAGACAAATTGTATACTAAAATACAACTATACATCATCTGCATAGAATCAGAGAACAGAAAATGGGTCCTTGATTCCAGCTTTTTATTGTCATTCCACTGTCACAAGTACAGTGACACGAATGAACTCTCTGCATTTAACCCATCCCCTTGGGGAGCAGTGGGCTGCCAATGTACAGCGCCTGGGAACAGTGTGGATTTAAGGGTCTTGCTCAGGGACCCAGAGTGGTAGTCTGTGGGGGTGGGTTTTTGAACTCAGAACCTCAAGATTCCAAGATGTAATACAGATTTAATACAGACCATTTAGCCAAACACACCATTTAGCCAAATACAAGAGATTCTAGATGTTATATTTTACATGACAAGGGGAGGTCCTTGCAAAGCACCAAACCAGGGAACGCTGTTAGGTATCTTCAATATAAAACATTGCAAGACCACCTTGTGAGTGCTGTTACTGGGAAAGCAGACTGCTATGGTCCCAGTATAAATGTTAGATAAACTATTGTCTGAGTTGAGATGATGTTCTGAAGACTTTTGAAGCAAAATTTTCTTCTTAAGCAAGGCACCTCGTGTATGATGGCTGCGCTCCATAACACAACTTGCCAAAATTTGACTCCATGCCTCAGTTCGGAAATACCCAGTGTAGTTTAATTTAAAAAAAACATCTGGCAAATTAAATACTTCAACTATAACGATGTACATTTTTTTAATTGATCATTTGCCCTCCCTGGTTGTTGCATTAACGGGTTGACACAACTAAAGTGGTTCATGATACATCAGACATGGGGTCCTGTAGTAAACCATAGTTATGGTTACTTCCTGGTTAACTTAAACAACTTTCATATTTTACATAAATGTATATAACTGTCATTTAACTGAACTAGAGCCTGATTTTAATTTAATATTACCATTATTCGCCAGTCAACAAAGCCCTAAACCAATAACCTCTTGGCTTTTCCAGAATTTTAATGACAATCAGTGCCTAACAGAGTTTTTTTTTTCTTGCAGATCTTGGACTCCCAGAACTTTGAAGAGTTCCCAGCAAAGACACTTGATTCTGTTCTTCCCCAGGACACCTCTTTTATCATCCCCAAACAGGAACAACCTGAATCCTCTGGACTAAGCGGCTTGGGACAGCACCTGAAGCTGGAGCTTGGACTTGGCAGTGGGGCTGGAGTAATGGCGGAAGGAAGTGTGACACATGGGGAAACAAGTTTAGAAGGAGAATTGGGATTTGCGTCAGGGGAGCATTTGATGCCAGCAGCTGGGACGGCGGTATCACCTTTGGATTCTGAGACCCAAAGAAGGCTTTCTCTTCAAGACTCACAGACTCCTCTGGATTCACGGACACCACAGAGACATGGCTCTGACCCAGGGGGGAGCTAAGGCAATGTGATAGAGGAGGGGGTGAAGAGATCTGTCAATTGTTCAACAAGGAAGGTAGAAGATCAGGAGGCAAGCGGTGGATCTACCAACCATGCCCTTTTTGGCCATAATAATGCCATGAAAAGGGTCAAGAACCTCTCCTTCTGCCTCAGTCTTTGTCTCTGAGTCCCCCTCAAGACAACTTGATCTTTCTGATCTTCAAAGCGGTACACCTTTAACCAAAACCATAAGCCGAACAGAGGCTAACCCTGGCCAGTCCGTTCTGGGCCTTTCAGCCAGCCACTAAGGATTACCTTTCTTCTCACTTACTTTGAAAAGACGACTAACTTATTGAAGAATCCCTTTACTGCTGTGTCCGGTGTTGGACAATTAAAGAGAAAGAGACAACAGTGGACAAAACAACAACAAAAAGTAGCCATTTTACGTCTTGCACTGAAAACCTTGATACACTGATTATTCTTTCTATATATGTCCAAGGCGCTTCCGAAAAAAACTCGCTGACCGGTTGGTGAATTGTAGTGTTAGCTGGCCTAACAGGAACTCTGCTGTCCCGTTCTGTCATTGGTTCCGTCCCCCTTGATGTCCCTCCCCCTAAAAGAGGTGGAGCTAATCTTTTAATTTGTATTCTGCCCAAGAGCCCCTTGGATTGGCTGGTCCGCACCTCAGGGGGTGGGAACTGGAGGGTTACAAGCCATGAATTTCCTCGAAGAACATATCAGCTATCCTATCATTAATGTTGACATTTGCTAGAGAGCTGAACACAAGCGACAACGCTTAGGTTGTGTGAGCAACAGGTAAACTGGCAAACTTACAAGGTTTTTAAATAAGAGCAGTAGACCAAAAAAGCTTCACCAAGCAGGCCCCCCATTAATAGCTCCATTAGCTTCTCTATGAGCTGATGCCCTGCAGTGAGAAGGTCTGCGCTGATTTCTAACATCCAGTTAAGGCTCATGCATGAAGGAACTCCAGTTTTTCGTTGTTGAATTTGCTACCTCAGATTTCATTGGTCCTTGCTTTTGTTTTTCACCCCAAGCACGCACCCTGAATGCATTTACCTTGTATATATGAGCTTGTCATGTGACACATAAGTATACGAGTTTGCCAGTTTACAAACGACCAGCCGAATGCGCCATTTATAGATGTACAGTACAATATGCAAACACTGGCTAGATGAAATAAGTGTGTGGGTGTGTGCTATGCTACTATGTGTGGGATAGGGCCTAATAGGGCCTGATCAGAGGCTTTCAGTTTGTAGTTTGTCTCGTTTTATTTAATCTCGTTCAGAGTTCAATGTGTTTGCTTCGACACAATGGTTAGAGGCTAGCTGGGTTTGCTTGTTTAGCTTTTTTCCCAAGACAAAAACAGGTAAATGATGCCTTGTTGAAAAAGCTGATGGAAGGTTAACTTTATGAGATATAAACCCTTTACACTTTCCCTCTACGTACAGAACACACAGTCCTTTTAACGTCGGTTAAAAGAAACAAAGAAATTCTGCTTTTTTACTATTTTACATTACAGGGTTAAGCTTTTATTATAAAAAAGGGGCAGTCAAGATAAACAGAAAAATTATATAGTTCATGAATAATTTGGAATTGAAAAATTATTTTGAAACTGAAAAGATTTGTTTCTGTTTTTAGTCATGGACCCTAAAGCTCAAAGTTTGGGTTAAAGCGGCTCATGTAAGGAAAAGGGATTTAACACGACACCCAGAACAAAATTTGATGGGTTTTACCTATTTTTACTTTTAGATTGAACAGCTCAACACTTCACAAACTATGTTTTAAAAAGTTTTAATTGGTGTAGAATACTCCGGTCCCTCCTTAAAAAGTCTATATATCACAGTTTTATGCTAGTCTCTTTTTAGCTCAACTGGTCGCTCCAGTTTTCTTAAATAGGAGAAATTTTTCACAAAACCTAAACTGAGATGTAAAGAGCTTCTGTTCAAAGAGGTTATCAAATAAAACTCAGATCTCCTTAAAAAAATAGGGAAATACATTTTAGCTCTAATAAGTTGGAAGTTGACGCTAAATTTAGCATACGTTAATGGCTAGTTAGCTAGCGACTTTATTCTCGTTCTTCTTTCGAGTTATTGATATTTGGTCTGTCACTCTAGCACCTATTTCAATTTTTCCCCCAGAATGCTGTCAAATAATCGATCCAAAAAAGCAGAGTTCCTTCTGTTTATTAAAGGCAGTGTTTTTGGCTAACATGATGAAGAATGCTCTTAGTTAGCAGAGTATGCTAACTAAAATTCTACTTCCTTCCTTTTTTAACCTAAGAATCTAAAGTGTCATGATCTAAAGTGTCAGTTTCGTGTTGAACAGTTATATTAGCTGAAGAGTAAAATGGACATGACCGAAAACCATCAAAAAACAAGGAGGGGTTAACTCATATTTTCCGTTTTGTTAGAAAGAATATACCTGAAAAAGCAAAATGGAAAACTTTACTATGATGAAAAAGTTTAGAGCAATTTCAGACCACTATGTGGAAATATACTCTAAAACACACAACATTAAATTGATTTGACCTGTCCCTTACAACTGTAAGCCAAATTTGATCTTTATTGATGTTTTTTAAATTGCATTTTGACTGACAAATGTAGAATTTTCCTATTTTAGATACATTCATCACATTGGGGGCTAATTATAACAACCATTCCCTCATTATTAAAAATTTTTTCCCATGTAAACATTGAAACCACTTCACAGATTTAGCAATTGGTTATGGTCTAAGCTAGTATTTACCCACACATATTAAAGATGCTAATATAGATATTTATTGCAGGTATAAACACTCAACACAAATTCACCTAATAGGCTGAACTGTTCTTTTAAAATGTCATTTGAAGCCAGGCACATTTTTTTAGGTCCCTAGATCATTAAAACATGGCTAAATATTATTGGTCTACGCAAGACATTAGTTCATCATTTATATCAATATGACCACAGACATGGTGTTTTAAAATAAATAACTCTTATGATAGCATAAATTGTTAGCTGTTAAAGAGTCTGATGGTTTCATACTGGGTAATAGGTGAGTTTTTGAGTTTATTCAGACATCTAAAAGGAAGAAAACCAAGCGCACCAACATGTGGTCTAACTTACATCAATTATGTTTAATTCAGTTTATTTCTATAGCGCCAATTCACATCACGTCATCTTAGGGTACTTTACAGTTCACCAGATCATACAGTTAGTTTTCTATCTAAGTAAAACTAGTTGATTGTATTGACTCATTGACTAGAAGGCAATCCCTCACACTAAGCATGCTTGTAGCGACAGTGGAGAGGAAAAACTCCCTACATCAAATACCTAAAAGAAAAAGCAAACATTTCAGTTCTTATAGAATGAAGACAGACTAAATCCTAGCTCATCATTAAATTTACTTCCCCGATTTAAATCCCACAGAAAATCTGATCTGAGTATAAAAGAGTGAAGACATGCAGACGGGGACCTTTGGTGAAGTGCAATAGTCCTTTCATTTGTTCTGACATGTTGCAGCTCGAGTTCGTCTGGTAAAAAATCAAATAAAAATCAATAGTTCTGCACTTTACGTTGCTGTAATGTAAACAGCGCACATGTTTAATAGAAGACTCAGGAATGTGTCAGTCAGGCGACGGGAGAGTTTTATTTTTCTTTGCTCAACAAATTAAAAATCAACCAATCAGGAGACTTTAACGCAGCTGATGTTTGGCTGAATTCCCCTTTAATGAAGCACTGAGAAGATGTGACTCTGCTGTTTGTGTCTCAGCTATTTATTTTATTTATTGTGATGAATATATTAGGTTTGCATGTTGGCTGTGATTGAAATCACTTTGGTTCAGCTTTACTAGGAACTCATATGCTGGAAGACGTGAAAGGTTCTCAGTGGGACCGTTTAGTTCTCCTTGTTCATGTTGCTGAAATGTATAAATATGCTCTGTCATTGTAAATATACGGGTACAACAAAAAACTATGAATATCGAGAAAAAAGCAACTTTTCTATCATTTATCTCAGAAAGTAAGTTAATTTATTGTATAGCTTCATTACACATATTGTTGCTTATTGATAATGAAAACCTAAATTAATGTTTAAAAAAGGTGAAAATGGGACAAAGTTCAGATTTAGAAACTTACATTTTTAATTAACATAAAACACACTGGAAAAAATGGAAATCCAGATAAGTCATTTTTCTTAAAATAAGTGCATTTGCTCTTGGATTGATCAGGTAAAAGACACATTTTGCCAATAGAACAAGGTAATTTACACCTAAAATAAGAAAATACAATTGCATTGTCTTATTACAAGTGCATATTATGTAATTATCTTATTTTAGGGGGAAAATTACTCATTCCATTGGCAAACTATCTCATTTACCTACGGTACTCAAATTAAGGGTAAATACACTTAATTTAAGAAATTTCTACTTATTTCTGGAGCGTTTTTCCAGTGCATTTCCTGTAAATCAAGGGTTTCTAAACTGGGAGGACTGGGAGGATCCCTTGGGGTGTTGCAAGATACCAATTTGGGGTTTCTGACATGATTTTTATAATATTTTTAAAGCGATTTCCGAGGTATATAAAGGTCCTAATTTTACCAAAATACACATAATGGGAATTAAATCAATAAATTTTTCATTTAACTATGAGATTAATAGATAGAGTAGTAATACATGTTCAAACATATTAAAAGTACCGTTAAATAACAAAATCAACAATGAAATAAATGTCCCTTTAAAAAATAAATAAAATAATTTAAAATTATTAAATAATGTTAATTTAAAAATTGATTTAACAAATTATATTAATAAATTCACTGTATATGTTTAAATAGATATAGAGTGTAGTTCAATATTTATTATTCCCTGTTTTGTATTTTTATTTTTTGGGTTTATAGGCTAATTTATTTGGGACCCTCTGCCCTAAATTATCTGGTGTAATACGCTGGCCCCCAAGGGCCTTAAAGATCTATCTGGACTTAAAATAGAAGAATTGGTTATTTTTTAAGCAGCTGAAATAACTTGAGGGTGAGTTTATATTAACAATGCAGTGTAACGAAATTAAATGTTTCATTTAAACACCTGCACACATTTAGACAATGCTGAACTGGCCTGATGAGTTCAACATTCCTGCTCTAAATGGTTTCAAAATCATCAAAAAAAGTCAGAATATGAGAGAATAAAATAATTTTGATAAGACCAATAAGACGGGAGCTGTGAAAGTTATCAGCAAAGCTCATCCAAACTGCAGCCTGAGCCCAAGAATTTAAAAACAGAGGGAAAAGAAGAAGAATTGACATTAGAGTAGGCTAATTCATAACCTGTTAAGATTTGGACATTATCATGTTTATATTACAGTTTGTTTTTGTTTTATGTTACGACCTTATTCTCTTACTTTTATAGCTTTAATTTAGCCATTTTATGACTTTATTCTCATAATCTTATGGCTTTATTCTTAGAATTTAAAGAAAAATAGATTCTTAGTGTGGCCCTAACTCTGGTTTAAATGGAAATCCAAAAATTATTTATTTTTTATGAGGGTTTGGCACATCTTTGTAATATTTCTAACATCATAAATCATATTTAGCCATAGAGGATGATTGCTAAATAAGCTAGCTGTTCAGAGAGGACATATCCAGATATATGTATTTATTTAAAGATGGATGGAAGATAAAAACCCAGATAGGAAGAAAAGTTTCACAATTTCTCAGTCTTCCAAAATCTTCCTTTTTAGGTGGAAGTTAAGTCAGAGGTAACTGGGATTACTGGGTGTCCAGTTAGTGTGTAATGATGCTATACAGGAGTTAAACTTTCTGAAATGAGTGAAATATTGTGACATATTCAGATTTTTGGGAGTTGTACCTGTATATTGAGGAACAGAGCAGACTGCTGTGTGTTTTATCACTTCCTGTATGCCTGTTTGACCCATGTCCCTAAAAGATGGCGTCCCTAAGCGTGGCCCCCAGCGCCACGGGGCCCGTCCACACGTGCGCAGCTCGTATCACGCTTTGTAACGGTGCACTTTAGTATTGAACCAAAGCAAGCGAATGCTGTAACAAACCAACAGCGGAGACATTTGAAGCCCACAGGCGACTCAGCTGAAGGAGCAACGATAGAGGAATGTGACAGTTTGAGTTTGGCCCGTTGGGACGTTGGTTTTTTCTTTATGACGGACGACAAAGGTCAACATGACTTATGATGTGAACAGGAAGAGATGGGAGAATCTGAGCCCAGATGATGACTTTCTATAGAGGCGGGATGAGGGCTACGGTGGGAAGTGACTCTTTTGGGAAACATTTGAAAACTTTTTCTGGTTTAAAGTCGGAATGAAACCTGAACCTTTTAAAAACTGTTCAGATGTGAGTCTTTCCTTTACGACTGAAGGGATCTGCTCGGTCGCCATCACTTCATTTCTCTACCTTAACCCTTTGTGTGTTCACTAGCATTGTTACCATAGCGTCACAGTGAACAGAAACTTTAACGGCTTTCATGCATCAGGACAAAATAAATGAATAGAATCTGGTTGATTTCTATCAAATTCTAAGAATATTTAACCTTAAGGGAAAAAGAAAAACATTAAGTTTCTTCATTGTCTTTACTTTTTAACCAAGTTAAGCAAAATTTATTTTGTAGAGGTAGATTTTGTTGCTGCATCTTGATTTCATTCATTTCTCGCATCATCTGGAGGAAAAAAGTGAGCCCATATCATGATTCCTCCACCTCTGTGCTTTGTTTTTGTTTTATTTATTGCCTTTATGCTTTGTTTTATTTTCTCAAACGTCGTGTTGAGGACTTTATTTCAAAATGTGTTGCTTATTCAGGTTAACTTTCATGCTGCTGACATTTCCTTTCACAGCTTTGCTGCCCCCTGGTGGTGGAAAATCTTTTCCTAACTGCTGCTTCATGAGCTTTGACATTTATTCTGGGCTGATGACTAAATGTTCAGCTTCTTATCAATCAAATCTATATCATTAAAAAGCACTTTCAACCTAACTGCTA